ATGCTCCCCACTGCCATGCCCCCTAACTCCCTCCTCTGGGGGCCCCTTAGGGCTTTTCCCACCCCCCCACCCCCCAAGGAGGAGGAATACAGCTGGCTGGGCTGGCCGCTGGTACCCAAACCCTTCTGTTGCCTCCTGGCTCCAGCCCCAGCCCCCAGGCTTAGTGCAGGGCCGGCGGGGTGGATTCTTTGCTAATATTAACACAGCACGTAATGAACACGCCAGCTGCACGGAGGGGGGTGGGGGCAGCCCCAAGAGCTGCTCTTAAAGGGCCGTGGCAGCAACAAGGACAAATCTGGAGCCCCGTGTGCTGGCTGCTCTGGGATCTGTGGGATTCTGGGAGGGCAGAGACGGCATCTGGAGCCCGTGGGGGCCGGGGGTGCCATGCGGAGGGGATGGGGAGGGCTGCCCAAGGAAGGTCACTTGCCTACATTGCTCGTCCCCAGGTCGGTGGATGCTGACTTGAGGGCCTGTCTCTTGCTCCGGTTCCCGTGTTTCATCCCACTCTGTCCCTTCACGAAACCAAAAAACAGCAGCATGAGGAGAAATCGTGGCCTCGCGGTGCGCACAGCACGTCCTGGGGCGGGGGGTGAGCAGCGGGACGCTGCACCGTGATGGAAATGGGTGCACTGGGCACCCAGATGGAGCTCACAGCCCCAGCAACACGAGGTGGAAGCCAGAGGAGCCCAGGACAAAGCCCAGCTCCAGGAGCTGGCGCAGCCCAAGGCAAAGCCAGGGACGAGGTGACATTTTATCCTGTAGGGAAAGCCAACTGCAGCAGCAGGGTGGGGTGGGTGCTGGGGGCTCCTGCTCTGCTCCCGTGGCAGCGGGGACCCGGCGTGGCTGTACCTGGTGTGCGCTGTAGTTGGGCTGGTTGTGGAGCAGCGGTGGGGGACAGATGGACAAGTTGTACTGCAGCGGTTGGCCCAGCAACGAGTAACGGCCGTCACCTGCAGGGTGCAACATCAGGAGGGGAGGTTTGCAGCTGTGCAGAGGGATCACAGAGAAAGAGCAGCCTTGAGGTGCTTCCGGCCCTTCCCCTCACCTTGTGCCGGGCCCATGGGCCGGGGGAACTGCGTGAGGACGGGGAGGGGGCTCAGCCCCGTGCAGACACTGTTCAGGTTGGTGACGGGAGACGGCGTCGGGGACTGGGTGGGGGACGTGATGGGGCTGTTCAGCTGGGTGCCGGCCTGGGGGACGGAGAGGGTCAGACACCCCCAGGGCTCGCGACCACCCCCAGGCCTGAGCCCACCCCTCCTCCCAGCCCATCCCGACGCTGGGGGGCCTCTCTCTCCCGCCAGGCTGCTCCCAGAAACGAGCCGCCTTCCTCCCAGTCCTCCCGATACCTGAGCACTGGTGTCTGGGTTGTACAGGTCTCCTGGCTTCTGCCCCCGCTGCTCCAGGCTGTAGTACTTACAGTGGCTCCACTGCACCACAGGGGCACTCTGGGGGGGCTGGGGGCCATTGGGGACGTTCAGCTGCATCACAACCACGCCGGGGCCTGACGGGGAAACCCCTGGGGAGAGAGGATGGCAGCGGTACCCCCCAGCTCACAGAATCACCGAATTGCCAGGGTTGGAAGAGACCTCAAGGATCATGGATCTCCAACCCCCTGCCAATGCAGGGCCACCAATCATCCCACCTAATGCTGGACCAGGCTGCCCAGGGCCCCCTCTCTGCACACCACGGCTGCTTGCTGGGGAAGCTGCTTGCTGAGGAAGCTGCTTGCTTGCACAGCTCCTCCCTCCACCATCATCTCTCCTCCGCTACTCCTGCCTGCCCGGGGGGGGCACACAGCCTTCCCTGTTATCACAGCTCGCACCAAAGCGATGATTTGCGCCCACCTTCCCACGGCTGACCCGGTGACACACAGCCCCGCTGCCACCAGAGGGAGTCTGCAGCCCACGGCAGCTCCCAGCGCTGCTCCTGCCCTGCCTGCCAGGGGACGGGGACGGTGAGCACAGGCCGGCCTGGAGCAAAGTCACTTTGCCACATCCTGATGACTCACGGAGGGCTGTGTGATGCACTGAGGAGACGCGCTGCGCAGAGGCTGACGGATTGGGCCGGGAACTGGCAGCCCCTCATCCCCCCTTCCCACCCCAAACCCGATCCAAACAGCGTGGCACCTCGTACCTGAATACTGCTGCTGCATCTGCGACGGGCTGCAGGGTGAGGGAGACTGTGGCATCTGGTACTGCTCAGAGCCCGGCGGCTGCAGGAACCCCACCGAAGGGCTGTGGAACAGAAAGCACTCTGCTGAGCTGCTGGGGGTGGGGGAGAAGCAGCAGCCACAGCCCCTGCGGTACACAAAAGGCAACTGGAGGAGCCCAGGAGGCTCCGCAGGGCAGCCGTGTCCAGGAACCACTGGGGATGGAAGCTCCAGAGCTGACCGGCATCCCCAGCGCATCCCCCCCCCCAGTGCTGCAGGACTCGGACGCAGCACCCCGCACACAGAGCTCCCACCTGGTGCCATTCTGCTGGGCGGGGGGGATGACGCTGTAGTAGATGGGTACGCCTCCGGTCTGAAGCCCCCCCTGCACAGACTGGCTGGCCGGCACGAGCACCGGCTGCTGGAAGGGCTGCTGGACCACGCTCTGGGACTCGTTGGCCACGGGAACCTGTGCAGGGAGGAGAGGAGCAGCCCTATGGAATGAGAGGTGATGGACAGCAGGAGCTGCCCACAAAAGCTTGACGGGACACCAGGCGGTTGCCTTGTGCAGCCGGGAGCAACCAAACCCAGCAAAGGGCAGCGCCTTCCAGCTCTCCTGGGACACAGAGCTCGGGGGACCAGCCGCACTCAGTCCCCTTCCTCAAGATTTTCCCTCCACAGGCTCAGATGTGTCCCCAGCCTGGCTGGCAAGCACGCACAACCTTCTCAAGGCTGTCTCCACTGCTGGCCCCAGAACTCGGCTGAGGGCTGCAGGGTGAGGCCCACCCCCCACTGCAAAGCAGCCGATGCCCACCTGGTACGAAGGCAGTGGAGTGTACTGGACCATCAGGCCTTGCATCTGGCTCCCCATGCTGCTCCTCTGGCTGCTGAGGAGGCTGGGGGGCTGCGTCTGCTGCACCCCCATCACGCTCTGCATTTGGCCCCCCATGCTGTTCCTCTGGCTGTTGAGGAGCCCGGGGGATTGTGCCTGCTGCACTCCCATCACACCTTGGTACGTTTGCTGCTGGTTGGACATCATTGGCTGTAAACCTGTCACAACAAGGTTGAAATGGAACAGCTTCCCAGCCGGCCACAAGGGACAAATCCGAGCTCCAATCCTGCTCTCTTGCTCAACAGCGAGAAAAGGGATTCCCTCATGGAAGGTGTAAAAAGATCCAGAGGAAGCTGCTGGCAGCACCCTGCACGCTGCGCACTCAGAGGAAAGGAAAAGAGACAGCTTGCACAGCCAGCTCACATTTCAACTCTCCTTTGTGCAGCAAATCCAGCAAAGAGCCAGAGAACGGCACCTCGGGACACGGAGGAGCAGGCAGAGCCTGAGATCCTTAGAAGCCGACAGAGAGAAGGGAAAGGGGAAGGTCCCTACCCCTGCCTCCTCCCCACCCCTTACCAGGCTGCTGGGCTTGCTGGGGGAGCTGCTGCGTGCGCTGAGAGCTGTAGGCCACTGGGTGACTGAGAGATCGGTATTGCTGGCTGGAGTTTGGGTACTGCCCGGGAGGGTAGTAAGAAACCTGAATCTAGCAGAACCAAGAAAACACGGCGGTCAGAACTTGAGAAGTGGCATCAAGAAATGTGGACCCTCCAGGTTCCTCCAGGACCACTTCTCTCTCTCACCTGGGCTGCCCGCTGCTGAAGGAAACCAAGCAGGGCTTTGGCTCTGGGCAGAGGAGAGATCCCCAGGGAAGCACAGCCCCCCCTGCTCCTCCCAGCCTCACCCCCAAGCCTCCCCCAGCACCGCAGTGCAAAGGTACAGCAGGCACAATTCTCACCACGGCCCAGGGGAGATGTCCCACCCCCCACTTATGGGTGCCACCCCCATCCCAGAGGTCACAATGCCCTGCAGGACCCAAAAGAGAGCTTGGAGGTTATCAGCTCTCCGTCTGGTCACCGTCTCACTTCCAGCATGAGCCAGGAATGGCCAGAGGGCTCTCCAGAGATCTGCCCTGTGACATGGGAGCAGAAATCACACTGCGTTTCATAAGAGCATGTGTGTACCCAGTGCTCTGACTTCTGTCTATTGCTCCACCACAAATGAGCAGCGGAAAAAGAAGGGCAGCCTGCTCCCCAGCAGCAAAGCGTCCTCCCCAGCAGCCCCCTGCCCCACAGGTTTGGGCCGAGGTCCTCGTCCCCTCCAGCCTTGCAGCTCCTTACTTGCTGGGGAGGTTGAATGTAGCCCTGGGGCTGCAGCACCTGCTGCGTGGGGACCGTGTGCCCTGAGGCTGAGTAGTTGGAGGTGGGAATGGGCTGCCCAGGGGTTGCCATGATGAATCCGGCCTGCTGAGGGTGCTGGGAGATGAGGGATGACTGGAACATGGCCGAGGAAGGATCCGGTGCTTCCGTCGAGCCCTGTCGGCTGAGGCTGATCTGCCCAAAGGGGTTGCTGAGTTCGTCAGCCTGCAGTGGGGATAAGTGAGAGGAACGGAGGAGGACAGCGTGTAGGACAGCAGCAAGCAGGACGCGGCTCTGCTGAGCAGTCCTTCCCACGGCTCTCTGGCACAGATCAAGAGCGTTCTGCAGGACGGGGAGCCCGAAAGCTCAGCAGGTGACATGCACAGCCCTGCACAGCCCTGCACAGCCCTGCACAGCCTGGGGTGGCCCCAGCCCGGGTCTGCGTCCTGCAGGGCGCCCCACACCACGCAGGCTGAGCACGAACTGCAGTGCAGCCGTGGCCCCTGGGCACTTCCTCAGCCTCTAAGGTCAGCCGCGGGTGCGCGGCCTCGAGCATCGCAGTGCAGCACAGGGCCGCCCTGAATCCTAAACCCACCGTGCGCAGCGTGTGCGACGCACGCCATTTGCAAGAGCTCACACAACACAAACACAGCACACGAGGACAACAGAGGCGGTGCACGAGAGTAAATGGGGTTTATACCATGTTGTACTGCTGGGGTGGAGAGACTGGCAAGAGGACTTGGGGGCAGGAGCTTGGAGAATACTGAACGGGCTGCAGCGCTGGGACCGGCTGAGACCAGCAGAGGAGGGAGCAGAGGGCACAGATTTGGGTGGGGAAAGGTGAGGAAGAAGGAAGGACGGGAGGAAGGAGAGAAAGAAGGAACAACAAGGTTAGTCAACCGAGCCCATCGCAAACACACACAAGTGGCACTGCGGGGGTTTGGAAAGCATGGAGAGCAGAATGGGAGAGCGTTTGCTCCTGGGGGAAGGCACAGCCTGGCCAGTCGCTTTGTGGAAGCCGTGCAGGCTGTGCCCACAAAGCAGGCCTTGCCTGGCACGAATGGTGACAAACTGACAAAGGGTGGCTACGGCCCGAACCAGAGATCCATTTACTCCAGACGACCCCTGTCTCTCCCATTCCACTGCCCACCTGTGCACGGCACTGACCCCAGCTCTCCCTGCACCCCCACTGCGCAGGCAGGAGTCCCAGCAGCCTGGCTGTGTGCTGGCTCTGCCTGCACCCCACCGTGTGCCTCCACTGAGCCCCGGGTGCTGAGCAGCGACTCACCTGAGACATCATGTGGTTACTGATGGCTGGCTGCTGCTGCGGTGTGGGGGGAAGGCCTTGGGGCTGCGGGGGGGGCTGCTGGGGAGGCGGTGGTTGAGGCTGCTGGGATGCGCAGGGAAGGAGCCCGCGGCTGGGCTGCGATGAAGGGGGTTGGCTGCACGCTTCAGGGGCACCGAGAACCAGACCTTGAACAGAAAACACACACAAAAAAAGCAGGTGGTAAGTCAGTTCATCCCCATCTTGGTACCGAGCAGTCTGAAGTGAAGCTGTCTGAAGTGAAGCTGTCTGAAGTGAAGCTGTCCCGGTCCCGTTTGAACCAGAGGCACTGAGCACAGCATCACAGCCAACCCCCAACTCAACGACCACAGGCGTAGCTGCTCCCTGGCTGGAGGAGGGAAACAACTCAGTACCTGCCCGGGATGCTCTGCTGGCAGTGCTGCCTTTGCTGCTCCCGATGCTGTCGCCCCGTGTCAGGATGGAGATGCCACTGAAGCTGCTGGCTTTGGTGACGGGCGGCCGCAGGCTGCGGATGGAGCCATCTGAGTCTGTGCTGCTCCACGGCCGAGGCTCCAGTGACTTTATCTCACTCTCTGTGCTGCTCTGGCGGCTGCCTGAGGCTCGGTTCAAAGCGTCCCTGTTGCCCCTGTGCAAAGAGGGGTGAGTCAGACAGCACCTGAGCGGGAGCTGGACCTGCATGTGCTGCACCCAACTGTCACACTGGGGTGGTGATGCTGGCCAGCAGCTGGCTCTGTGGGGCAGCACTTTGGCACTGAGCACAGTAATCAGAGATGGTGAACAAACAGCCCGGGTCACTGCTTCCTTGGGAAGACCCACACACTGCCACCTCCGTGCTGGTTCCTGGCCCTTTTCTATGGCGTGGAAAAGATGCCAGCAGGCTCAGAGCACAATCCCTCGCTAAAGTCTTCCTTGTCCCACAGCACTGAGCTTCGCAGGGGCATCAAGGTGACCAAGATCTTGCAAGATCACTTTCTGCACAGCTGTGTGCCACGATATCACTGCGCTCCCAGTCATCGCCCTCCTTAATCTCCAGGATCCTCCTTAATCTCTTCCAGGCAGGTCTGCCTACAACAAGATTTTGGAGCACTGGCAAAGCAGCCCAAGCAGTAAACTTGGTTCACCAGCCCAGCTAAGGAATATAACTGGTTTATAATGGGTTCCTGGAGCCTCATTGAGGTCCTCCTCACTGAGGAGGAGTGGTGATGAAGGCAACAATGCAACAGATGCCATGCTGGAGGCTGAGCCTGGCTGCTGCTCCAAGTGGAGAGAAGACAGGCTGAGAAGGAACTTCCAAGCTGATGTCCAGGGCTGCTGGGAGCACATGAGAGCCAAAGAGAACAGCTCTCCTGGAAGAGCAACCAGTGCAACGGCTGCATCTCCTAGCAGGTGAAGGAACTGATTTAATTGCCTTGCAAATTACAGAGGGCGTAAGAAGCGTCGCTGCTGATCTCTTGGGCTCTCTGCAACCTAAACCAGAGAGGTGGGGGCACCGTTTGGGGCACGCTGTGTTTTCTGTCCAGCTCAGCTGCAAACTGCTTCCCTCAGAACTCAGAATCTCTCAAGCTGATTGCTGCTCACCCAGTGGCATAACGGCTCTGCCCCCTCTCGTGCCCCTCTCTCCACGAACCTTAACAGCCTGCTTCCACAGATCTGCCAGCAGAGAGCTCTCTGCAATCAGACTGGTGCTCATAGAAGACTTTTAAGCCATGAAGAAGACAGCTGCGTTTGCTCTGAATGCTCTGAGGAGTGAACTCAGGAGTTCACCAAGACATCATCTCCAAGCACAACCACCCAAGGCGCCCCATTCTTCAGAGCTTGGACAGAAGGACAGCCTCGCTCTCCCCATGCTGGAAAGCACAGAGGAAGGAGGTTAAGAAGCTCTTCAGGGCACAACAGTCAGAAAAGCTCTCAGCACAGCCCTGGCTGCAGGTGCTGGGTGACTTTTTCTGTATCTCCACAGCAGAACTGAGAACTACATGAGCACCACGGGCACCAGAGGCATAACTGCACTGCAGCATCCCTGTATCTGTGCTGAGGACACCTGATTTTCCACTACAGCTTCGTTTCAAGTGCAGACAGAGCCACGGCTGAGAAGCAGAGCTGTTCCTCCACGTGCTTAAACCAGGGACAACTCCAGCCTGCCTGGATGCTCACCCTGCCACTGTAAGAGCAGGGCTTCTCCCACCCTTCTGGGACACAAAGAGCAGAATGGTTTGAAAACTGCCCAAATCCTCTGGCTTTCCCTCTCCTTGCTGCCATTCCTGCTGTCCATCGTCCCATTTTAATTGATGAACTGGCCAAAAAAAGGACTCAGAAAAATACAACCTCAATAACTTCACAAGGCAGCCATGCATGGGGCAAATTTACTCAGCAGGACAACGTGCAAAATAAATCACACAGAGATGCCTAAAAATCTGCCTCCACTTCTGAGAGCTAAAAGAAAAGCCTTCTTTGGAGATTCTGCCAGTTAACATCAGAGAAAAAGTATCATTACAGAGTCATGCAGTGCTCTGCAGAGAAAGCCAGAGGTACAGAAATGCTGAATGGTACTGACCTGCTGTCGGTGAGATATCCGTTCTGGCCAGTCTGGAAACATGGGAAAGACACGGAGACGGGAAGGAAAGAAAAGGGAGACTTAATAACTTCGAAAGCAACAAACCCCAGCTACTTCAAAGCAAAGAGGAGCAAAGCACTAACAGTATGGGATTCAGCTGGTGTTGTGCATGAGTTGTATGGTCACCCGGGAGCTCCTGCTGAGCCTCTTGTGCTCCTGTCCCACTTGGCTCTCCATCCAAACCCCTAGGAGCCTTTGCCAGCACCTGTGATGTTGAGATCTCCCCTGGGTTTTCAAATCTCAGTCCTAAGCTCTCTATCTCAATAGATGCCCTAAAGCAGCATCAAGGTTGCTTTGTTAGTGGAACAACCAAGACCAAACTCAGAAGGGTCCTCGCTTGGTAAATGCAGGCAGTCATCAGGGCCATCAGAAAAGGGAGGGGGCTCAAAATCAGCCCTGTCCCTCAGCGACAGCCAGCCCTGAAGGCCAGCAGCAGAGCACTGGCTTAGGCTATGAGCAGAGAGGAAGGGTGACACACGGCCACTCAGCACTGTGCTGGGATGGCACCTGTCCTCATCCAGGACCAGAGGCAGAGCTGCTGCTGGCATGGCTGGGTGGCTCCGGGCCTGTGTGCAGCACAGCTCTGTGACTACCAACACCTCGAGAGCCATCTGAAGCCTGCTGCCCTGACAGCACTCAGTACAGTGCCTGCCTGAACGTACTGGGACTGAAGAAAGCATCGTCCCCCAGCTACTCAAAAGCAGCAGGCAAGGAGCTGGACTCTGAATCTGACCCGCAGCAGACTGAACTGTCCCCACATCCATCGTCTGCCTCTTGGCACAGCACAGAGAGCTGCCTCCAGCTGGCAGATAGCACTCAACACAGCAGAGCACAGCAGCCTCGCTGGGCCAGACGTGAGCATGGAGCATAGCTCTGGCTTAGAGGAGTTCCACACAGGGAGCAGAGATTTCAAGCAAACAACAACCAAGCTGGACGCTTTGTGAGAAAGAAAATCAACCCAGATCCAGCCCATAAAGGTGCAGAGCCCTGCCTGACACCCGAGGGATCCTGGGCAGCCTGATGTGGGGGCTGGCAACCCTGCCCATGGCAGGGGGCTTGGAACGAGGTGATCTTTAAGGTCCCCTCCAACCTAAGCCATTCTGTGACTGAGGGCTAGCACTGCTTGCTCAGGAGACCAAAGCTGCAGAAATGGAGAGAAACTGGGAGAGAAGGGCACGGTTCCTGTCAGCTTCATTAATTAACTCATTCCAGACATGCCACTGCATAAGCTTATAGTATTGCTGGACAGCAAGGAGCAAACCTGCCTCCTCTGTCAGTCCCCACACTTCTACTGCCATGTGAATTTAAGGGAGTGAACGTGTGGCTCCTCTATCTCGATGTCACAGGCATCTTTGTTAGGAGCTGGAATTCACTGGTAGATACCAGGAACACTAGGAAATTTGTAGAAAAGGCAAGAGTGAGATCTGACCTTTTAGAATATTCAAGGACACCTTCTGCCCCAAAGTTCCAGGAAGACACCTGGCATGTCAGGGATCTAAGCTTACCTCTCGTGCAAATATCCGCTCCCTGGCCCGCTGGTATTCCTCCTCTCGCTCTTCTATAGATTTGCTCCTCCTCCCATCCTGCAAGGGGAGTCTGATCTGAAGGGACAAACACAGCTCAGCGGGTCAGTGGTTGCCAACGGGAGCAGAGGTGCAGTGAGCTGCTGATACGTCTGCACAGCAGTATGTGGACTGTGGAGCGTGTGCACCATGCACTAACACTGCCTTTACACTGAACTGCCGGGCACTTGTGCTCTAGGGATGTTCGAGGGAGATCTGCAAAACTGTTCTGCCTGATTCAGAGAGGACAGGTCAGGAACACCACCAAGTATTCTGAAAGACAATCTGTTCTCGGGGGGTCAAAAGCTAAAAGCCCCTCTCTGCAGACAGATGCCCGTGGCAAACTCCTCCTGCTCGGTCACACGCTGTGTGCCTCACCCTCTGAGCACCACCCTGGAGAAAACAGAACCTGATACTGATTGCAACGACCTCACCCTGACCACCTGAGTTCGGAAACATGAATCAGAGCAAGGGATAATGGCGTGGTGATGTTAAGATGGCTGCTACAAAAGCAAAGAGCGCGAGGTCCTGGGTGAGGAGGGGGATCCTGGCGCCCCGTTCTGCCATCCCTTACCTGATTATCGTCTCGGTCCATGCTGGTATCATCTCGTTTTAGGATAAACCGCTGGGGAAACTCTGCGTTCTTCTCATCTTTGATGTGCTCAGAGAACCTCTGCTCAGGACTGCAGGAGGAATCAGCTCTTGTTAGGGGGTAACAATGGGTGCAGAACCATAAAACCACCGTCTTGCAGGGAGCGGGGCACAAACGTTTGTTGCATTAAATGTTCCCCTCCGACAGCAGCAAAAGAACCCAACCCTCCTCTGAGAGCTAAGGACAGCTGGAAAGGGCTCACAGGTATATAAACGTGGGGCTGGAAGTGAAGGATTCTATCTGACCCTCCAAAGAGGGAACATGCCCTTCTTACAGAGGCATTCAATGTGGTGCAAAACCCATCCCATGAAATCCATCCCCCAGGGCTTGAGGTCTGGGAGGAAGGGAAGGGGAAAAGGAACAGGAAGGGGAAGCGTGCCCTCTGTCCATCCCCCTTACATTCGTGTGTTACTGGTCTTGTTGATAATGACTGCCTTCCCAGTTTGGTCAACATTATGGTCCATGCCAAAGTAGGCAGCCACCCGGTGCAGCAGCATCCTGTGGTATGAGGTCATCTGAGGGAACTTCTTAAACTGATTGCTGAAACCAAGGAAGGAAGGATCAGAGTTCAGGAGGCTTTGAAACAGATGATAACAGACACCAAAACAGAGAGGGAAAGGGAGAGGGCACAGACAGCTCGAGCAGATCAGAGCGTGCCAAGTGACAGCACTCAGTGCAACGGCCTCGAGTTGTGCCAGGGAACGTTTAGATTGGATATTAAGAGGAATTTCTTAATGACCACTTACTTGCTATCACTAATAAATTCCAGAATCTCCTGTTCTAACTTTAGCAGCATCATTCTATCCCTGCCAAAAAAAAAAAAAAAAGGGGGAAATCACTTTTAAAGAGAGCAAAGCACAGATCCCTCTGCTTGGTACCCACCTCCCTGCAGCAGCAAAACTCACAGGCAGCCCCACTAACAGAACTCCACACATCTTCTACAGCAATGAACTAAAAAACTCCACTTTTGTTTCCCAATTTAAAGTTGTTTTGCTAATAGTGCTTGGCTTTTGGTCGCACCAAATCTCAGCTCCACTGCAGTGACTCCAGCTCTGCTGCTCCTACGCCAGCACTCGGTTTGATTACGTTTATTACTGACCCAGCAGCAGCTCCTTTGGAGGTGAATATTTGATGGCCATTTACATAATGGCTTTTTAGGTGGTCAAGATTACCTCCTGCTTGCATTCAAACAAAGCACTCTTCCTCTCTCTGTCTCTCCACAGCACACAAAGCTACAGACATAGAGCTGTCACTTCCCCCTCCTCCCGAAATACATGGACACACACACGTGCAAACAAACACCGCAGGGTCAACCAAAGCAGCATCACTCACCAGCCGTTCCCTCCCTTCACTCCACCAGAAGGATTTCTTGTTACCAACCAGTGACCTACCTCGGGTTTTTTTTCAGTGTATTTACTAAAAACTCATGCAAATCTATCCCAGTGGAGTCTGTATATTCCTGGCTGGAATCTGAAACAACAACAGCAGTAGAACAAATGAACAAAAGGCTGCAGGTTGGAGGACGCATCTCCCAGCACTGACTCAGTGCATGAGAGCGATGCTCCCGCAGTGCTGCACGAGGCCCCGTGAGGAGGATGCCCAGGAGAGGGACCTGGAAGTCGAAGAAAGGAAACCTTGTCCCTAAAACCTGCTCAGAGCACGTTCAGGATAGCCTGTGCTGTTACAAAAGGCCCTGCAAGTGCAGCATGCCATACTTTGGTATAAACAACTGTTGCACCTTTCATCCTGCAGGCTATCTGAACAGAGAGCCCAACGGCTCTGTTCTTCCCCTTTTAATTTTAGGGGTAACTGCAGGAAAAAAGAAAAACCACAAAAAAAACAGCACTTGAAATCAAAGCTGCATCAGTGCAGCTGCTCTCTTTATGAGATTCTAAGGTGCAGTTTGCTCACCAGATTGAATGTGCATCTTTTAGCCATTCCTGTGCCCCAAAATCACAGAGGCAGGGTTATACAGCAGAAATTCAGCTCACCTCCTTGCAACCCTTTACTTTGGCACCTGTGGCAGGTGTTTTGAAAATCAAAACTGCACTGAAACCCAGAGTCTATACAGTGGGTCTTGGTTTTGCACCTGCCACTGGATCTCTCCAAACACACTGAGAGCCTGCAAGGCTGCAGGGGCACGTGGCAAACCCTCCCCCCTCCTCTGCTCCACAAAGGATGCTATAAAGGTGATGCATTCCTGCAGAGTCATCAGCAGGGGTAACCCCTCTGCTCCCAGTGCTACCACTGCCCCCCAGAATCCTCAAACCAGGGAAGATAAGACCTGCTCTGTTCATAAGAGCACCTGACCTCGAGACAGCATCTTCCTTGGTGCCTTGTCTTTGTTCTTTTCTTTTTCTTCTTTCTCAGCCCCATCTTTCGTGGACTTTTCCTCTTCCTTGTCAGAGGGGCAGCTAACACGCAACTGAATGATGTCCTGGAACAAAACAAACCATGGTGCTCTGACTCACTCGGACTCAGTGCTGCTGTGGGTGGAGATGTTGGCACGGAATGGCATGGGGTTCAGGCTCTGCTCTCCTTCCAATGAGAAAATCTGATAGGATTCAACAGCATTCGCCACTGCTGGACACCTGCCTCGTCCAGGATCTAAGTTACATGCTTCCCTGTTGAAGGCTGATAAAATTCTATTACACTGTGGACTGAGGCGTGTGGAGGTGAAGGAGCTCTTGCACCACTACAGCAAGACTCTAATTGGAAAGAGAAAGGGCATGAGGGGTGCAAGAAGCCTGTGAGGTGTGCTGAGTGGCTTTGGTGCTGCACACAGCTTCCTGACGCTCCTGTCTGCTCCTCTCCTGAGCTGCAGCTGCCCAGCAAGGCCTGCAGGCTTACCCTGCTCCACAGGAAGAAACTAAAGACCAGAAGGCTTGTCAAAGCTGACATCGGATAACCTGCTGCTACAGTTCAAGTTAAAACCAACTGAAAAAGCACGAGCCTTTGTGCCAGCTGATCCTTCAGTTTCTTTCTGCTGTTACACAGGAGGTCCCTGACACAGCACCACGGCTTAAGCAGGTGCAGCTGCCCAGTGAGTTTACACAAACAATTCCTGGTGAGAGAAGGAATGGCTGTGACTGTGCACATACAAGCAGTGATACCAGGGATGAGCCCTTCCTTCAAAAGCAGCCTCATGTGGGAACTCTCTGGTTCTCGGAGGTACGAGCCCAGTGTAAGATAGCAACTCTAGAAAGAAGGGGGTTTTCTGGGCTCCATACTGCACAACTCGTCTGGTTCTGGGCCTACCTGGGACTCCAGCAGCCCATCTACAAAGGGGCTGGACGATTCTTCACACACAGCCAAGCTCCTGACCAGCTTAAGCTTTGAATTAGACTGGAAAAGTAAAAGAAAGAGCACAGTTAAGACCCCTCAGCCAGAAAGCACGCACTCCAGTTCATGCTGTTGCACCACCGAGCCATTCATGCAATCAGCATTAATTGAATTGCTGAAAAGGAGGACTACCACACCAGCATCTCGCAACACACAGGGACGTGCACACATCTGGAGTCCTGGAGCAAAGCAGTTCCTTCCTGCAGCCCTCAGTTCAATTTGGAACCAACCAACATTTAAGTGAGGAAGCTCACTGCCTCAACTCTTTGGCCTCTTCAGCCCCAGCAACCCCAGGCCTCCCCTCCTCACCTAAGAATCAAAACTACTCCCAAAGGACACAGCGAACAAATGGTTTTATCTAAGATACGAGGTGAGAATCGTTACTGTTCTTAATTACCAGGCTGTCATCCAGCTTACACCTACCCCGCCTGACCCGGTGGCTTTGGTTATTTTGGGTAACGTAGTAGTGCTTAGTTTAAAATAAAATCTCTGCTTTCGGGACTGCTGGCAAGTTGACTCACTTGGGTGACAAATGGGAAATAGAAACCAGTCCCATGAGAACCCAGGCAGGATCAGCCATAGGAACAGCCTGAAGAAGAAAGGGATGCTGGAATATCTCATACCTTGGCTCTTTTTCTGGCATGTCCGTGGCCCGACGTCCGTCTCTGGAGAAAAAAAGGAAAGAGAAGGCAAAAAGCTCGATGTGAGGGTGTACAATATCAGTGCTATTTGGTGTTTGAGGCAGCACAGAGATTTGGAAGCAGATCTCAACCTGACAGTGTGTTTCTCAGGCAGAATGAGAGGAGCTCCGTGTGCCCCTTTGGGCTGCCCACCCGTTCCATGCTCACCTGAGCTTCCTGACGCACGCTGACCTCCTCCCCCCCATCCTTCTCAGCCTCCTCCTTGCTGGGTGACCTGGATACGTATTTGGTTTTGCTCACGGATTCCTCAACCACCTTTTTTTCTGACTCCTTCATTATTTCCAGGGACTCCTGCGCTGTGTTGCTGTTTGACATCTTCAGAGCCCTGCGACGCAGCGACGGGCACCTGCCAGAAGAAGGGACAGAGTGGGGCAGAAAGGTCAGGGAGGAGAGAGTTTCCAACTGGAGCACTGACTCTTGCACATAAAGGTTGTCATTTCTTCCACCTCCTTTTGTGCACAGCAACCCCAACCCCTGCACCCACCCATTCGTCCCCTTGGATGCAGCCCCAAGCTCTTGCAGGATTCTCACCAGGACCCTGAAGTCATGGGCTGAACAAAGTCACAGCTGAAGAAAGGCCCAGAGGCACACAGAGATGCCCTGAAACTCCTCCGGGTGCAGGCACCCTGCCCTGTAACTCCTCTGATGCAAAGAAGAGGCTCAGGGCAGTGCTGAGGAACACACAGAGGAATTCAGGAGGTGAGATCAACCCAACGGCTGGACGAGGTGTGCTCTGTCATGCACAGATAACAACCAAAAACCTGCATTCTTTTCCCAAATCGCAGCCCTGCCCTTCTGGCAGGCACTCAGAGGGATCTTCAATGAGGACACAGCCTCGGACCCAGAGATTGCTCTGGTTTCTCCTGGGAAACAGAGTGACATCTTCCCTGTGGCTGCTTATGGCTCCATAGTACAGAAAAAACAGGAGCCGAGCCATTGCAGATGAAAACATAATGCTTCCTAATGAAGTTGTGTCTAATTGCATGCTTCTGATTAGCAAGCATACAGCCTGCCCAGGGCCCTGAAACGACCAGGCAGGGCAGGGTGCCTTGCTCTGCTCCCAGCACCAACAGGATGGGAGATATCCATTCATAAAACGGAGCCAGCTGCAAGCCTAGAACCAAAGGCAGCCCTCTGGGCTCAGCCAAAGCAGCTCTTCTGGAGCTCCTATGAGGGCAGACCAGCTTAGGAAGGGCTGCAGAGGGAATTCTGGTCCTGAGAGCCACATTTGTGCAGCCACTGCTGGGGCACAGCCCAGTGACTCCAAAGGGAAAGGGGGAATCCCACATTTCAGAGGAGCTCCAACAGAAGATCTCAGTGTTAGAAGATACAGCTGACGTTCATCAACTTGTTCTATTAATTGCTTTGGCAGAACATGGCTGAAAGTGTCTGATCTCACCAAGATTTATTAACTCTTGGCAGCTCTGCACAGCTGCTCATCTTCATTAACTAATTCAACCTCACCCCCTTTTAATCTGTGGGGATGTCGGAGATAAAACGCGTTCTGCTCTTTCTGCAGCTCCTGGAGTGATTTCTGGCTGCAGTCACCCTGCAGGAGGCAAAGCAGTGAGGTTTCACCCCAGCTCCCCCCCGAGCTGCTGTAGCACTGTGCCCTGCTTGCAGCCCGGGGAGGAAGAACCTTCCTCATCACACTGCAATGCAACCTTAGCATCACGGGGGAAAACAGCACCGCTGTTGGGAGCTGATGGGAGCTCAGTGCCACTCGGCAGACATTTCTGCACTGCCCCTCCTGATGAACTTTCTGCCCCTGGCAGCAGCCCCTGGAACATTTCCTTGCATGCAAAGCTCCAGAGAGAGCTGCCGTGCACTGCCAGTGCTCCTTCACAGCCTGCAAAGAAGAGCTTTCCTTTCTGTATGAATGAATCAGCGCCGCTCCCTCAGGACAGGCGTAGGTCGCATGAGGGGGTGGCAGACATGAGCTGCAGCGACAGACAGCAGCTTGCAGAGAGGGGAAGTTCAGAGGACTCGGGGTGGGTGGCACTGAGCTGAGCTCTGCCAGGGAGGAGATGGGGAGATGACGTAGATGCAGCATCAGGGAAGCTACTGAATCTGGGTCAGAGCAGTCACCCAGCAGAGCTGCTGGAGGTGGGAGAGCTGAGCCGAGCGATCTGGGGTCGGAGGTGGCAGTGAACACCGAGCGCTGCTTGAGGGTTGGGTGAAGGGTAACTCCATCCTCACCTTCCTCCAAAAAGGGAACAGACCAGCCCGCAGCCTCAGGAGTAAGCCTGCATGCTCAGACTTCACAATCTGCTTCAGAGACATCTCTTGACTCACATCCCCCTCAGCCTCTTCCCTAGGTTATTTTTTTTTTTCTGCTTTTGCTTCCTGAGACTCACTCCAGGAAGCAATCGATAGGGCAGAGCAGACTGACATGCCCGAGTCACAGCGCTGTGCTGTATTAATGGAACATCGAGTCCCACAGTGCAGAAGGCAGCAGCACCCCACTGACAAGGAGGAACCCAGCAAAGCCCCAGGAACAGCTCTTCCCATCCTCAGGTTGGTTCAAAAACACAAAGGAAGCGTGCTTAAAGCCAGATTCATTCACTCGCTAAACAAAGTTACAGTGCTTGGAAGACTCAGAAATAAACATCCCAAGGCGGTGAGTCACTCGTGGGCAGGACAGTCCCCACCACATCAGGTCGATGACGTGCAGCCAGAGCCAACTCTCAGCACTGGGAGCTGGGCGAGGAAAGCCGGCCCACCTGAGCGAGGTCTGCAGGTGCAAGAGGTGATGGGAGCCAACAACCCAGCCTGGAAGAGGGAAGTGGGAAAGCCACGGCCCTCTTCTAGAGCACAAACATTTCGCTTTGCCCCTCAGAGCACGGCCTTGCTGCCGGCAGCACTGAGCAGGAACGAGGAGTGCACGAGGAGTGATGCTCTCCCAGCTGCGCGCTGATTGGCTCGCGGCTCAGCCAATCAGAGCCAGAGCTCCATGGCAACCGGCTCTGTCACCAGGAGCAACCGGGAGAGCCGGGTACCGGCAGCCGCCCTATGGAGGGACCGGGGGAGGTGAGATGCAGAGGGTGCCGAGGGTCCCAGCTCCAGAGCGGGGCTGCAGCATCCTCCTATCATCCTGAGGGGCTGCAGGGAACCCTCTGCTTTCCCCAGGGCACAGCCGCTGGTGCAATTTCGGGGTGCTGGAGTATGTTTCCCAAGTACTCTGCTAAAAGGAGGTTTGGCTGTAGGACTGACAACATGCAGCTCCTGAGATAACTTCTGAGATAGGTCCCTCACAGGCTCCACACGGCCCTCCCCATCTGTTCTGTGCAGCATAAAGCCCAACTAAGGGTCCCCAGCACCAATGCTGTTCCTGAGGCCTCAGCCTGGAGACGAGCACAGAGCCCTGCCAACACCTCCCCTGGTCTCTGGGTGGAGAAATCCACTCCCTGCCGTGAGCTGGAAGGAGCACGTGCTCTGTGCAAAGCCCCACAGTCTCTGTGAGGAACGCTCACACACTGCAGTGGCCACAGCCCATGCAGGAGCTGCTCCAGAAACATTCCCCTTTACTTTTTATCATCAGCTGAAAGATTCGCTCCTGATGGTTCCTATAAAGCAAACAAAGCCAAAAGCATGGAGGCTATAGGTGCACTGGCCTGCACAAACCCAGCACTGAGTCACTGCTTTAAATCTTAATCCCCACTCCTACATTACATTGAAGAGGTGAAGAGATGATGCAAAGTTTTGACTTTAGGTGGAAAGAGGGAATAAATAACCTTACGTGAACTGGGATACAGGGCACGCAGCAATGGACAGCCACAGGTGTGAGAAAGGAGACTCCAAGGCCCCCCTGCAGCTGTGAGATGCCCTCAGACCTCCCAAAATCCAGATGGAGAGGAGGATGGGAGAAAGGAACCGACTGCACTGACACCTCGATGGGGGGGTGGGGGTTGCAGAGAGGGAATTTTGGATCATGCTGAAGGAAGTGGGTTCAGGCACTGTGAAGTGCACAGCAGCAGCCACCTGCAGCCCTTCTGCTCTCACTTTATTTTGGGAGCTGCAGTGAAGCCACATAAGAACCTCTCAGCCCTCGGCTGTAAAATCCAGGGGAGACAAAACCAGGCAGCAGTTCAAGTGAGAGGAGCACAGAAGGCACCTATACAAACTTTTACAGTGCTGGATGGATTTTTTTTTTTTTTTTTACAGTGCTGTAAACCCTCTGAGGTGAGAAAGAGAAATGTGGGACAGCCTGAGCTCCCCTCTCCTGTCACAGCTATTCCTGCACTCATCCAGGAGCAGGGAACTGCTCCCATGACGTCAAAGCAGTTTCCCAGCAACAGTGAAGGAGGGCTGTCCACCACGGGGGTTTCCTGAAAAGCTAGCATGGAATCATCCACCTCCTTTCTGCAGTGTCAGATGCGATAGGACAGCACGGCAATGGGACTTGTGTTAACTTCCCTCGTGCTGGCACGCTCCTCCAGTGCTCTCCCTGTGCCAAGAAGCAGCAGCAGCACTTAAAGTTGGCTGAGAGCACAGATTCCCCAGCCCAGCTCAGCATGAAGCCAGCTGCAAACACTGGGTGTCACAGCAAGGTGTCACAGCAAGGTAAGAGTGTGAAGAGCAGGTGAGGTGTTCCTGCCTACCTGCAGCATGAGGACCTCAAGGGCTGCTGCCTGCAGGTCCTGGAGCCACGGGTGATGGTTTCTGTTCTAAAAGAGCACTGTGAGGAGGTGAAGGGAAGGGCAGCAGGTCTGATGCACCAAAATAAAGATCCTGCGGTGCTGTAAGTGGCTGATACACCCAGCCCTAGGAGTAGCTCCTAGCACTGACAGTTGGATGGAGGGAATGTTCCTTCAGCACCGGTGTGAGAAGGAGGCAGAGGGAATCCAAACTCCCCGTTCTGCTGAAACCAAACCCAGTTTGCAGCAAGCTTTTAAACACAAGATGGGGTTAAAATAAATACACGGGTACAAATACAGCACAAGCAGCCCTACAGAACATCCAACTGAGCAAAGCAAACTCAATATTTCCCATGGCACGTGGCCAGCCAACAAGTAGCCACGTTCTTTGCCAAACTAGCCAGCTTCCAAGCAGCACAGCCCTGAAAGCACAGCCCAGCACAGCAGCACGGAGCACTCTGCCTTTGCGAAAGGGAAAGGAAGAGCCCAGAAGGAGCTGCACACAGCTCAGCTCAGCTGGGAGAGCCCACGAGGGGAACTCCTCGCTGACACAGCACAGCAGCAATCAGGGATTCCCCCGCTCCTGCAGGTGCACTCTCAGCACCACAAAAAGAAAGCTCAGTTCTGGCACTGCATCCCCAATGGGATCAGAGCTGTGGATCCATCACAGCGTTAAATGAAGCAGCAGGAATAGGCACTTACCGGAGGTGAGCGATGTCAGGTTCCCATCCCTGAACCGCCTGCCTGCTGTACCTACGCTGTGTTTTGCACAGGGGTGGTGAGAAGAGATGAAAAGAGAAGCCTCGGGTCACTGCTGCTCAAGCCCCAAATGTCAGGCGGCTCAGCTCTACAAAGGAACTCACCCCTGTGGCTCCGAGCTCCCCGCAGTCACCTGGCCCCTAATCCCCACGGACCCTCCATTGCCACAGCTGGCTCGGTAGGAACGCCGCCAGGATCATTTTGCTCTCTGGAAGCCCTTAACCTGCTTTCCCCCCCTCCCCAATGATCGCAGCGCTGTGCCGTGCAGCTCCGAGGCAGAGCAGAGCCCAACTGTGGGGAGGGATGGCACGGAGCTCTGCCAATGGCCACATGCACACCCCCTCCTGCTCTCATTCAAACACTTCAGTGGAACTGCCTCTGCAGAGCCCCGAGAAGGCTTTAAAGACACAGCATCTTCCTGAGCACTGAGAAGGCTTTAAAGACACAGCATCTTCCTGAGCACCATCAGGCAGGCGGGACGCAATGGCACGGAGGACCCCACGTGCACGGAGGTGGGTTTTGGGCTGCCTTCCTCACGGCTCATGCAGTGCCATCAACGCTCCCATGGAGTCACAGTCTTTAATGGTTTCTTTGCCATGCAATACAGGAAGGAAGCAAGAAATGCAAACGAGCCTGGAGAAGTTCTGAACCGTGTTGCAGCTTTCCCCCACCGAGCCTGCAGAGCTGATCTCCAGCAGAAAGACTCCAGGCAGAGGGGCTGAGCAGGACAGACCTCAGAGCACGGAGCCCTGCAAGCCCACACAGCACAGATGCACCTCCTGGGTTTCCTCCAACAGCCACAGAGCCGCCTCACTGCCAGGCAGCAGCACTCTGTCTCCAGGAAACAAAGTGGGAGAAGATTTCCTCAGCTGCACCTTTACTTGGATGCAGCTTTCTCTTTACAGCAGACCCTGGCTGGGAGGAGGAGTGCATCAGCCCCACTGAAGCCCAAGTGGCTGCAAGCTGGCTGAGCCCCACAGATCACTGCCTTGCACACCTGGGAGTCCTCTGCTCAGGTAATGTGTGTGTTTGCACATTTATGCACTGAGACCACGCTCTGCTTCACCCTGATGGGTTTCTGTTGAAAGAAAACTGATGCTTCATCAGAAGGGAAAAGCCCTCAGCCTCGTGGCGCTGACCCGGCAGTGGCTGTAGTGCCAATGTGTGTCAGCCCAGGACAGGGATTCCCTGTGTGAGATGCACAGCAGGCAGCAGCAGTGTGCCCTGCGTACGTGAGAGCATCGTGGGCTCCGGCTACAGCACTCAGGAAACTGCCCCTGCCCTTAAAAAAGGGAAGAGAAAAGTCACACGGAGCCTGGAACAGAGTCCTCATTGCACATCAGCTAACAGCACTCTTCTGCCACCTGCCACACTGCACAGGGATGAAGGAAAGCTGTGCACACCGCAGGAAAACAGCAAAACACCCAGGAGCAGAGCAGCAGGATCCGTGCAGCTGGGATGGACCACATGCTCTGGGCCTTCTAACAGGAGCTCATAGGAAAAGGAGATTCCTCAGCAGGGCTGGGAGTGACGCAGGAGTCCTGCAGCTAGCACAGCTCTGTGAGCAGGTCTGATAAGAGAGCAAGGGGTAGAGCAAAGGAGAGGAAAAGCGACTGTGGAGTGGAGAGTCCACCATCAGAAGTCACCTCAGCCCCGAGCTGATGGGGATGGCAGCTCAGAGCAGGAATTCTGAACGGGCTCTGCTATCAGACAGAAACGATGAGCTTGATGCGCCCAGGAAATGGGATCTGAGATCCAGGAGTCGCTGCCCACAGGAAAAATAAAACAGAGCACCGTCAAATTTAATCGTAAGGGATTTTCCATTCGGATCTGGCTCAGCTGAGGATGCACACCCATGGCAACCGGCCCTTCCCTATCCCCCCCAGCACCCAACTCACAGATGTGTGCTGGCTGCAGCTGTGCCCCCGTGGCCCCTGCAAGTCTGACGTGCACCAGATCTGTCAATGGCTCAGGACAGACACGTGGGCAGCGATGAGGAACGTAACGAGCTCCCATTCAGCTCCAAACACTGATAAATAATTCAGGAAGAGAAAAATGCCGCAATACAGAGCGCAGCACTGCTTAAAAATAGAATATGTGCTGCTGCTGCCAGAGGAACAGAGGGAAGAAAGCAGAGAGGTGGCACCAACGGAGCACGCGTTGGGTTGTTGGCCTTTCCAATTAGGAATCCCCCACTCTGGGTGTTACAGTGGCAGCAGCCAGGGCTGCCCCTGCTGGAGGAGAGCCCTGCAGCCATGCGTGCAAGAAAGGGAAAATCCTCCAGGCTGCACAGCCTGCAGCAAGAGCGGGGTGGGAGCACGGCCAGGGTGCTGGGTGGCATCCAGCTCTGCACAGCCACAGAGCTCAGCTTCACTCGCTCCGGTGTTTCCTGCAGGGCAGAGGTGAACAATGCTGTTCTCTCCCGAGTCGTGCTGCCTTGTGTGCAGAAACTTCCACCCTGATATCAGTGCCACCACCAGCTGTCCCGTGCTGATGAGGCTCTGCAAAGAGCAACCTGCCACCACCAGGCCAAAAGCACAAAGCCCAAACCGCCTCCTCGTCCCCGGATCCCACCGCTCTGCGCTAACGAAAACCTTCCTGCCAACCTAAAACATTCACCAGCCCCAGCGCGTCCGCTCGGCTTTGCGTGGTGAGAACGAAGAGACTGAGAATGATTGAGATTGAGGAATGTCACCAAGGTCACGATGGTGGTCAAGGTTTCCCCTTCCAGACCCCAGCACCGTTCCCCACCGGGTGCAAAGCGGTCCCTCACCGCATCGTGCAGCAGAACCCACTTGGACAGATGGCTGCTCCCCTCCTCACCGAGGAGCTTCAAAAAATAACAGCAAAATGACACCCATCCCTCCCTGTGATATCGGCTTCCCAAGCGTTTCTAAAGCAGGAAGCTGCCAGCATAAGAAAACAGCAGGTTCTCCATAAGGAAAGGCAACGCGCTCTCACGTGCAGCTCATTCGGAACCTATTAAGTCTGGAGGCAGGAGCAGATTTCTGAAGTGTTTTGGTTCCGCCCTCCAAAATACCCCAAAATAAATTGAAAGCAAAGGGGAAAGAAAAGTGCAAAGGAAGACAATTGAAAGGCACTGAGGGGAAGGTCGTGTGTGAGCAAGGCCAAAATCCCAGCCCTGGTTTGAACCTGATGGGGAGGAGGAGGAGGGCAGACCCTCAGCTTTGGGGTGGGCGGAACTTCAGCAGTTCTGAGGTCTGAGCAAACGCCCCCTGCACCCTTCCCACCCTCATCCCTCCTTACCCTTGCTCTCCCCTTCCTCTTCTAATGAGAAACCACGACAGGAGGAGCAGCTCTGAAGCAGCTGCTCGTTTTGGTTTGGCCATGGGGGAACAGACAGGGCAGAATTCCGTTTCCTAACCAGGAGCCCAAAGCTTCCCACAAAGAGGTCACCCAGATGCACCCCCACCAAGTGGCTCTTTGTCTAAACTCAGCTCCGAAGACATTTGGTTCTTAAAGAAAAGGATGTCAAAGCAATAAGAGAATTTTATAACTTCATTAAATATATATATATAAGAGCTGGCATAAGGAGTAGGCTGCATCTGCCCACACTCAATAATCATCACTGAAATTTACTGGGAGGCAGCCGTGACTCAGTCTGCAGTACACAAAGACAGCTTGTGCTCCCAATACATAATGAAAGCGGGCTCTATAGAAAGCCATAAATCCGTATGAGCCCCATTGACAACAGCATGCAAGGGAATCCCAGCGCTGACATCAGCTCAGCCCTTCCTCCTGCTGCTGCTCACACCCAGACTGGGCTCCCACGGGCGCTCCTCACCTCTGCACGTTGCTAAATCCCACCAAGAGGTCACGCTGCCTTCCAGCCGGGTTCAGCAGGACACAGAAATCAAGAGAAAGCACAAAAAAAGATGGAGGATGGAGAGCAACAGAGTCGCATTCCATTGCAAAGAGGAAGAAGCCATACAAGAGCTCTCGACTTCCCATGACAGTTAGGCTAAAAGCAACCGCTCCTTCCAGCCCAGAGCGGCAGCCAGCAGCGAGGTGCCCCGTAAGGAATCAAAGGGAAATGGTTTCTCTGATCCCCCTCTGCTGAGTGCAGTGCTCTGGTCCTCAGAGCTCAGGCACCTGCAGCTCTCAGCACTGCGTGACAACCATAATGTGCCTCTGGGTGGGGAGAGATCCTGGTACACCATAGGACACAGCTTCCCACTTTTGGCCTGAGAAGCTGAGAGCAAACGAGGCCATGAAGGCTCGCCAAAGAGGAAGATGGTGCAACAAACCACGGCGTGATATTGTTAAATCACTCTGGATTTTGGCTCGTGCTATGCAGGCAGCTCCAACTGAGCCTCAGGAACCAGCCTGATAACTGAGGGTCAATTGCTTCCATGTCCTATTCCTGTGGAAGGGAGAGAGGGACTGAGAAAAAAATAACTCTGCAAGCTACTGGATCCTGTCAGGAAAAGATATTAACTGCAGGTATCCTTGGCATGATTTGATGGAGAATTTCTAGCATGAACCCGAGGAGGACACAGAATTTACGCCAGTCAGCCTTAGGGAGCCACAGTGGTAAACAGCACAGAAATAAAGAAGAGTGAGTAAGGAATCAGAACTGCACGAAGCAGCTATGGGGAAGCTGGCCCCAGATCTGGGAGAGATGGAGAGCAGGGTGAGGCAGGAGGTAAGGTACGACTCCCAGCAATACCAGTGTAGAAACCAAACAGAGCAGCCGTGTTGTTTGGCTGCTTCCTAACAAGCAGGTGAGATCCTATGAACCTCCTGCTCTCCTCTACAGCACATTCTTCGTAAGAGCAGCCATTCCTCATAGAGTCACAGGATGGTTTGGTTGGAAGGGACCTCAAGGATCACGAAGCTCCAACCCCACAAAGCCACCAACCTCCACGTTTCACAGCAGCCCAGGCTGCCCA